TAAGAAATTATTTTAATTTTTTTCTTTCTATCTTATAGAAATTGAGCTATACTGCATTAAGCTTTTTTGTGGGGATTCTTAAGTCTACATGTTACTAATACTCATATAGTGGTGCCTTAAATGTTTACACACCCTCTGTGTCTATGATGTCTGCCTTTATACACATATATTTTTTTTCATGCATGCATGTATTCACAGATAAATTATCACATGTAAAATATACTAGAGTTCTGTCCTTCAATATCTGCTCTGATCATCAAAACAAAAAATATTGGACACCTTTTTAGCAATAATTCACAAATTTGGCTATAATAAATTTCAATTTCACTTTTTGGGAAATTAATCTGCAGATGATGTTACTGAAATATATAAGTGCCTTGTAGTTCATTGTATTTTGGGTGTGTAGACGTGATTCTTCACTGTGAAGCTCAGTCCTATTTTGTCCTGCATGTTAGCTGTGGTTTTCTCTGGGCTTCAGAGTCTGGAGAGCAGCACCTGAGGTGCAGAGTTATGCAAGTGCACCACATCTGGCCCACAGCTATGGGCCATGTGATCATAGACACAGATGGAGAGTTAGGGGTATGGTGCCTCATGTAACCTGGTGAACTTAAGTGAATTTTCAAAATTAATGGAAATGACTGTCAAGTCTAATTCAATAATATTTTACTCAAAGTTGTTAGCTTTCCCTTGCACACTGGAACTATGTTATCATTCTGTTTTTTCTTTTTTAATAAATTATTTACTTTATTGCAGTCATTGCAGGTCCTTTAGTAATGAATTCCCAATTTTTACAGAATCCCTGGCCCATAGTATGTATCATTAAATGCTTATTATAAGAACACTTCATTTATTCTTATGGGCACAGGTATACCAGCAATTCAAGTATTCATCAATTCTTTCATTTGAGGCCAATTAGAGAATATGGTTTCCCATAATTTTGATTTAACATTTTAAAGAATCCTTTGAATGCATGGTTTTTCAGAAGTTCTTATAGTTTCAAAGAGTCTCTCCATGTCTTTATATTTAAGTAAAGTTTCAGAATTTGGAAGAAACACTCGGTTCAGTCTAAGATGATTCCAGCACACATTATTATCCATGTAAACTGTTTATTTGAACTTAAAATACCCATTTTATTTTAGGGAAACAAGCTTCTGATGGTGGAGTAAGAATTATACATCAGAGAACAACAATGCACTGTTTTCAAAAGTAAATTTGAGTCAATATCACACCAATGCCTAGGGTTAGACTCCTATTTTTACATCTATTATATCAAATTCCAAGTGGACTACTTTAAACAAAGCCATGACTTTATTCCACACTATTATGGCAACTCAGTGTTTGAACTCTGTTTCTTGTGTTATGTTGCAATGTACCTGAAAGAACTACAGTACCATCACCAAGTTTTTCAAATCAGTTGGTCACAAGGCAGTAAGTACGATACTTGAAATTTTTATGAAAGATCTTACAATATTGTAAAGCAACATTACATTGACAAGTGTAGTTCATTTCATACTAAGAAAGTTTAATACAATGAAACTGAGTTGAATACAATCATTTTGTCTATGTGTATATTATGTCTTTCAAATGACTGTATGTGATTAAATATTAGTGCATGTGTATGAGAGACAGAGACAGACAGAGAGACAGAGACAGAGGGAGCAAAGATGGAGGGAAGTTTTGACTTAGGCTCTCTCATTACTTAGTAATCAGTCCTACAGGTTTGCTCAGGCAGCCTCATTGTTTCTCACCATTTGATCCCCATAGATGAAATGACACAGGATGTAATGTATCTGTTCCACCTAGGGAATCAAACTGTCCCTGGCTAAGGCGGTGCAACTGCTGCATTAACCATCAGGCCCACTTTGAATCAAGATGTAGCTGTAGACACAGCCACACACTCACCTCCTAGTGCACCCCTTAACCATGGCCTGCATACACGCCAACTCTGTCAATCATTTGGTAGTTATGTGAGTGCTTAAAACATATTATGTATTTATTAACTTAGTCATAATTACACAATTTTACAAGGAGTGTCTCCTCCTATGGATAAATCATACAAAATATGCTTTTAGTAAGGGGCCCTTGTTCACTAATATCATTTCAACTGCACACTAAATGTATTTATGTACTCTTCTCTGATCATAGTACAATTTCTTTAAAAACTTTTAACTGTAAGACAAGAAAAAGATAAAACAGCATAAAATTGACTTTTGTAAATGATTTGCTTCAAAAATGGTGAACATGAGACTACTGGAGAATAGTACATTTACCTGAATATTTTATATTATATAAGAATGTACTTTTACTTTCTGAGTTTTCAATAGACCTTTGATATCAGTGAATTACATGGTATAACCATTATAAGTTCTGTCATAAAATTTCAATTATTAGACTTATTGTGCTAGTCAGAAAATGACCAAAAAAAGCTATTTTTACTAGCAATCCTTTTAGCAGCACTGCAAAATAATGAGAGAAGTAGAAATCATACACAGAATGGACATTATATGTGTGGAATAAGGTCCTTATTTTTAAGTAATTGATATGGAATATTGTATAATAGATATGATCAGTGTCTAGGCTAGGAATTGGTGAATTATTCCCTCAAAATCTATGTTTAAAAATTAAAAATTATCTATTTCTTAGTTCTTCTATAAAAGATAAATAAACACTTTTTATACAACACTATACACAGAAAACATATTCTCTGTCTCCTCTGTACACAAAATAACAATCAATAACAAATTATACCTGAAAAGAATTTCTACTAAGGAATGACAAATAGTCTTCCATTGGACCAAGGTGACAGCAGACTGCCTGAGGGCTGCTCTCTGATCAGACAGATGTAGAACTGTGTAATACAGAGAGCCAAGACTCACATACAGTGAGCGCTCAGAACAGAGCTCCACAGCACCTGCTGGTGCTGTTAGCCTTTCCTCAGCTGCCCTGCTTGGCTTCATATCTCTGAATTTCAGAACATGGAGTTAAGCCTTTGTGTACCAAAGAGAAGAGGAAGGAGAGGAGGAAGGAGGAAAGAATAGAGGAAGACTGGGAAATGAGTCTCAGGCTAGGACCAAATAAAACCAAGTAATGCAAAGTGTAACTCAGGGGGTGAACTGGAAATACCTTCAGCAGGATTTCAGCAACAGGGGGCCTCAGAGCTCCCTTGAACTTTCTGATGCCCCAGCTGCTGTGATCTGGCACCTAGGGCTCCTAGAATAGCAGCACTCAGCCCCACATAGCTGCCCTGGCCTCTCTGCCCACGGAGACCTCTCCAGCAGGCTCCATGCAGAACAGACTCTGGCTGTGTCCACACTGTCCTACCAGG